CTTGTGCATTTCTTAGAATGTTAGTTCGTTAACTCAATAAGCTGCATAGGGAAAAATGTGAGCCAAAATCTACAAAGACGTCCATCGGGATTTTAAATTGACATCTTTGCTCAGTAAGAAATAGTTAGAGATGGGAAAAGATGCATCCTTTCTGGGAACGACAATTTAGTGTGAATCTTTGGAAAGATACCTTGTTGAACAATTTCCATACAAGCTCCTATGGGGACACACAGAAGCCCAAAGCCCCAAGGCCAGGCATAAATATATTTTATAATCTGTGTCCTGGGGAACAGCTCTACAGAATTATACTAGAAAAGCATGATCTTCACATCTACCTTTCACACACAATTCAACATTAACTTAAAAAATGCTTTCATTTTCTTCTTTTTTGCTCAAAATATTTTAATTCTTTATTGGAAACTGTCACTTAGTGGAATATGCTATATGTTCGAACTGCTGTTTGCCAGTGAAAATAGTTGCACAGGATTTGGTGGGTGGTTACGCCCAGTGGTTCTATGGGCAAAAAGCGCACTATCAGTCTCTCTGGCAAAAAGCTCTAGTAAGTAAACTCCACAAAGGTCAGTGACTGTGAAAGTCTCTTTCTCAAACTTGATTTTGTTTCTGCATATAAGAGGAAGAGGCTATAATCCCCGTTTGCAGATGAAAAATGGGTCAGGGAGGTTCTCTGCCTTCCTCAAGGTCCTAAGTAACTAATAGGCATTTGGATTTGAACAGTTCCAACTTCTGTCTCTTTATCCATCCCTTCTTGCTTTCCTCCTTGTTAAATATGTTAACAAGATTAATGTTAAAAAAGATTAAAGAAATTGAATCAAGAACACGGTCTCCCCCAAGATTGTGGGTGATCTCCTCTGAGAATAATTCGAAGTATTTTCAAACAAAATGAGAACTCAGGGTAAAACCAAGTTGCCACTGTTCTTTATGGGTTAACCTGAGCAAGCTGGGGTGCACTGATGCCATATGAGCCTAATGGGATCTGAAATCCAGGCTGTGAAATAGACCATAGACTGCTTTAAAAATTTTGAACTGACTTTCTCAAATACCCAGAATAAGTACACAGTATTATTTGACTTGCATAATCGGAAGGACTCTCCATAACAGCCCTAACTTTACAGCAATGTTCAATCAGAGCTTCGAGGCCCATACTTAGATGAGACAAGCATCCCTGAGTTCCCTATCATTCCCCATCACTAAATTATATCCACATACTAAGGCCAATCATAGCTGAAATTTTTTACTATGCTTATGCTATTTTTTCTTACAACAGAGGAATATTTTTCAAGCCTTATATCGGTTAATAAACTGAAGGATTAGTTACAATTCTTCTCTCTCCTCCGTATCTGCCTGTATATAATGTTCTCTACCTGTGTGGTACAAATTCCCCAGTCCTTGACTGAGCCACGTGCATTTCTCTGGCCTAAAGACGCCTTGCACATTTTTTGTTTATTCTCCCTTGCCTTTACTGCTGTCATTAGAAGAGGTTTTCTGGGTTTCTGATGCCTCCGCAGGCTAAGCAGCAAGGTGATCAGCCAAACCCACCCTCATACAGCCAAGTCAATCAGTCATTTTGCAAATAGGAGTGAAAAAACTGGTAAATGTTTTAAAGCAACTGAATTTGATGGTGATTTCTCACAGCACTGTGATGGCCATTGGAAGTGATACACCTCTACCAAAAACAAAACAAAAAAAAAAAGCTGAAACACATATCATCTTCTTCACATGCAAATTTTTTAACTTATGCTAGTAACCGCTACACTAAAGGCCTTTGGGTTTGTAATTCCTGCCAAAACTTGAGAAGTAAAGAAAGCCAGGTTGTGAAATGCTTTGTACCATGACTACCTACTTAGATTTGACTGAGGGGACCTAGGTTTTGCCTTCTGACATCATGTCCTGCTCCAAACAATAAATAACATATTCACTCTTTCAGCATTGTCTCCAATTTTTAAACCAATGAGTTGAATTGCTCTAAGCTCTCCTTTCAAGGTTCATTCTAAAGCTATTATTGTTGCAGACAATGTGCTCCCTGATCACTTTCTGGATGTAATAGCTATTTAGTTGGTTGAAAACATGAGGCCAGGGTATCCAAACCTTTCCAAATACAAGTGTGGGTTCAATGCCCAGTATAAAACAAAACAAAACAAAACAAAACAGAAACCAAACAAACAAATAAAAAAATCACTAGAGAATAAGTCAAATTTAGCAGGTGTTAAATTTACAAGAACAAACCAACCAACCAATCAGACCATATTCTGACACTTAAAGTGCTTAACAGTCTCACGTACAAACAAGAAGCTCTTCTTATTTATTTATTTATTTATTTATTTATTTATTTTTAATGCATTTGGCATAGGGTCTCACTACACAGCTCAGAGTCATAGTGATCCTCCTGTTTTCAGCCTTCCCATTGCTGGGATTACAGGCATGTGCCACCATGTCTGGTCTGGATGGCAACACTCCTGAGGACAGGGCCAGTGTGGCATGTGGTGTGGGAGGACCAAACCTTGATCCCTGTGTTTGCCTAAGCAGGCGCTTAGTCCACTGAGCTATCTTGCTGGTCCTAAACAAAATGTTCTTAAACAACATATTAAAAAGTCAGACAGCCATGACTTTATGCCTCCAGCAAGTCCTATTTTCAGAAGGTAATTACTGTATCTGAGCATATCAGTTTAGCAATCCAGGCAAGTGGGAGGTTCATTCTCTATTAACCTTAGCCAGAGACATTTTCATCAAAATTAATTGTGATTACTTTTTATTGCATTTCAAATGTTATCCTTCATTTGGGGTGGTCAGGAATGCAGCTAAGCAATTCCAGCCCGGGCTATCTTTTATGAATAGGTCTGTGAGGTGGTTATCAAAGCCCCTTAGGAAAATACTGCTACACAAGAGTTTATGGGTCAAAATCAAGACATTAATTTCTGTAACCAGAAGTATCCTTAGAAAGAAGAAATTACTATCTATAAAAAAGACAGCAACTTAAATATTCAATGTGTATCATGGCATGACTATAAATGCTCTACATATGTGAGACAACTCTTTTTTAAATGCTTCTTTCACCATTTTTTTGTTATTATAGCAACAGTTAATCATTAACACGCTGAGCAGAGCCTGTGCCAAGTACAATTTTAAATTCTCTCTCTGCACTAACATTTTAGCCCTTACAACAGCTCTGGGGTAGCTGCAATTAGCTTTCCTGTAGTGAAGCTTAAGGAAGTTAAGGAGCCTTGTCCCAAAATAGGAAATTCTGAAGCCTGGACTAAAACACAATCATTGTTGTTCCCGTCGCTTCAAAATAGAAAATGATGCTTATTTCACTGAAAACTCTCAGCACGGTCACCCTGTTTTGTGCCCTAACTGTACTTTTCTTTGCTGACCTCTGTACTCTCTCGGCCAGTTCTGTTACCTTCAGGAACTTCACTAGCACCCATGTCTCCAAACTCAAATTCATTCACTTTAAATGCATTCAGCCAAAACAGTCTTCCTTCTGTGAAGACACTGCCATCTCAGTTTTCCTGCCTTCCTAATTTTTCAGAGCTCTTATCAACTACACATGTGCAAGTATTCGTTTAAGTTCCAGGACTGCCATTTACTAGCTAAGTAATATCTCACAAGTTATCTTCTCTCTCAGAGCCTCCCTCATCAGGTAACAGATAGGATGACAACTGTTTATCTAGCCTGCATGATGGCTGCAGTGGACCTTAGTTTTTATCTGCTCTGGACCCCTCCAGATAACAGAATTCCTTTCATTCTTGTGGGACATCTCCTGTCCTTCCTCCTATCCCATAGGATTTGGGTGAGGCTGACTCTTTCTACTTAGGCTCCAAGTAATGACATGGCCTGACCCTGGCCTGGATAATCTTCATGTTCTGTCCTTGAACATTTGTAGAACTGTTACACAAAGTCACTATCCTCCCCCTGGATGGACTACATTCTGGGCTGGCCATCACTCATGGAGAGTCCCATGAATTCAAGCAACACAGGGCAAAGCATCAGTGTGTAGCAAATTGAAACATCCAGTGACTGGAACCTTCCACGTTTGTTATTTCTCAGCATGTGTTTCTTAAAGTCGGGACCCTTTACTAGGATGTCATGACATAACTTTTCTGGGACTGTATTTCACAACATGTAAAACCACCAAGTTGGTTAAGGAGTTTAAAAATGCTTAGGAAAAAAACCTGTAAAATGTTCTGTAAGCTTTAGTTATTATCTCAGTGACAGAGGGAGAAACTGAGATTCAACACCCTGGAGCAGGACTTGCCAAGCACACTTAGGAAGCTGTGGTCCATGTGAAAGCACGCAGACCTCAATAGAGGACCTGATCCTAGCACAGGGCCTTTCCATGCAAACTCCAGAGCAAGTGTCAATACAAAGAAGGCTGGAGTAACAACATTCAGGTATTTCCTGGATACAGAGAAAAGGAAACTAATATTGACTAAGGAGCCCCGCTCTGCCTTGTTCTGTGCTACACATTTCCTTGTATTTTCTTACTCTGGAATATTTTCTTATTTCTTGGTTGGTCAATTAAGAAGATGAACTATGAGTACATACTGAAATTATCTAACTTCTTCTATCTTCAAGGAGGAAACCCAAAATATAAATGGAGAAAGACAATAATTAATAAGCAAAATTTAACATGAACTGCAGCCAAGTTGAAATGAATCTCTCTGTTGAAAGGTATACTGGAACAAATAAACTTCAAAGTAAATGCCCTGTTTCACTTGAATGTTTTATTGAGCATATGGGAAGAACAACTTCGCCAAAAATAGGAATCGTTAATGAGGAAAAACTGGTGTTTTCAGTCAGTCAGTTGGTTTCTGAGACAGGCACATCACTGAGAGATAACTGTATTTACAAAGGAGACAGAATAATGATCTGCCTTAGAACCTTAGAGTTTTGAGTGAAATAAAACAAGTTCAGTAAACTGCCAGAGTTTACAAAATTAATTTTTTAATTATGAAGGATTAAAAAGGTAAACTCGTTCTCACCTGCAAATGCTGTGAGTTGTCAGCCATGTTGTCTTCTCGCCTGCGGACTTCTTCCAATAACTGAGCATTCTTTTTCTTTTCCAGCTGCTGGTTGTGCTTGAGGTTGGCCACCTTCTTATTCTGATCCTTCATATGCCTGAGAAAAACCAACACAGCTCGGTTACATTCACCCACTGGAAAAGTACATGTTTTCATGATGGGTTCATGGAAGTACTAAGCACAGAATATGTTGATTGGGAGAAACTCTGGGAGCTCATAACATTTTATTTCTCAACCACAAATATGTACCAGGCACCCCTTGAATGTCAGGATGGCCCTGGGACTTCTGTGGTGAATGAGGTAGGCAACGTCTACACGCTCATGGAGCTTAGAGTCCTGAGAACCAGGCAGACAAGTACTGCACCAAGGAGAGACAACATGAGTTTCCTGATGTTGGAGAAGTAAACAGCATGACATGAGCAATGATGATGCGCACATGTGGACAGGTGACATGGTGGGAGATGACTTCAGATACTTTGGCCAGGAACAGCCTCTCTCAAGAGACAAAACTGTGACCGAGCTTCAAACGAGCCATCCCAGAGAAATGCCAGCGGAGGAGCTTCCCGGCAGAGAGAACAGGGCATGGATTTTTCCTGAAGGCCGGAAAGCAGCTGGCTAGGTCACGGAAACAGGGCCACAAGGAGGTGAGCCCAGGGTAGGAAGGAAGTGGGGTAAGAGATAGAACTACGAAAAGTAGGTGAGCCCTGTGCTATACTTATTTTCTTCTAAGTGGTTGCTAGCTATTCTAAGGGTTATTATTCTTTTAGATCAGATCCTTATTCTGAAATCATAACCCATTACTTTGACTTTAGAATAACAATTACAAAACTCCAATCAAATACATTGTCAGTGCTTACCTCAAACAGAATAACAGTTTAGCCAATCATACTGTTGAATAAAGCCCCAGTGCTTGGAATAAAAGTTCTTAATGAATCTATAGGATGTCAAAGTGAAAAATTATAAAATGATCAAGTGAGCAAAAGATTAAAAATAAAGGATGAAAAAAAAATAAAAATAAATAAAACAACTAGGATGCAGGAAATGGATTAAAATTTTTTTAAAAAGAGAGTTACAGCTTAATGTGGACTATTTCATTTAGCAAAACATTCCACAGCTTTAGGCAACCATGTCCACAGCAGCTGTTATAAATCTAGTCCAACACGTGTGGAAGCAGCAGGGCAGCACAGAGGGCTCAGAAGTGCAATCATGTGGAGTCCTTTCTAATTCCTTCCCCCTCCTCTCCCTGGCACTGCCAGATCAGCCACTGTGACTGAGTCCTGACTCCCAAGACACACACTGTACATCGAGTCACTGCTCTACTGTAAATATAAACAAGACAAGAACTAGATGATAAATAGAAATTTGTCAAACTGAGCCCAAAAGCAAACACAGGCAGCCCTTAATGTGGCACTCTTATTTCCAGTCCTGAAATTATGTATACTCCTTCTCCTTCCCACCTCAAGAAAATGGAGCTCAAGAGAATTATCTAAGAAAAAAAAAAAAAAAACTTTTAGCAATAATGCTAATGAAAGAAATTCTGAACACTTAAGCCCTTTGGGAATATTCGTATTCCCAACAAAAGTGGTGATTTCAGTGTTCTTGGTAGACTAGTAAGATACAGGAAAAATTAAATAACCTTCTCTTTAGTCATTATTGTTACTAACAGGTTTTATCTATTCCATACTTTTATTCAACATAGTAACATACATATATGAAACCACCAACTCAAATCTATATGCAATTGTAGCTTCCGAAAATGATCCTCAGCTTACTCTGAAGATGTTAAGAATTATCTCTTCCTTCCTAATTGAACAAATGTGGTATTTTCAAAGCTCATATTGACCAGGGAAAATACATTTTTCAGTTACTTAGGAAATGAGGTCATTGCTCGAAAAAAAGGAGAAGTCAGTGTAACTAGTGAGATAAGATTAATTAGAGTATTTTGTAAAGAACTATGTTATACTACCTTTTATTACTTTCTTTTTTATCTTTTATTACTTTAAACCCTCCATTACATAGAACCAAATGTTAAACATTATCCCCTTTCAAGCACCAGAGACAAATAATTATTATGAGCATCACTCTCAGAGCAATCTTAACACACAGACCTTATTTTCAGGTGTACTGCAATATTTTATCAATCAAAAAGGAAAGAAAAAACCCAACAAATTCCAAATTCACGTGTCGCTTAAATCTTGAGTTAAAAATTAGTGGCTAAGAAAAATGGGATATTGGTGCTCTGACATGTTACGATGTAAGCCTTCCTTCAGCATTTTCAACCACTCCTTCAAATGCTGCCTTATAAAGATACCAGTGATTGAAAAGGAAAAATGAGGTTTGCACAGTTCTGCTTAGGCTGTGCGCCAAACTAATTGGAGGGTCAGGTGGTGAGCACGCTCATGCCGTGTACATGGCCATCAACCACTGCATATGGAGTGTGTACCTAAATTGTCTCTACGAAGTAGGGCCATGACCTTCAAATACGTTTCTAGTGGTCTAACCCTCACTTCTACCAGAGCTTCCTTAGGAAAAAAAAAAAAAAAAAAAAAAAAGGAAAAGACCTGCCTTACACAAGACTGAAGAGGAAAGGAGGGGCATGGTTTAAATGGGGAGCAGGAGAGCAGAACTTCAGCTACTAAGCAGCCACTTTCTGGGGCACCCCTCAAAGAAGCCCTCTGGTTCTTTGAAGCACAGGTTGAAAAGGCAATTTACAAAGGAGGCAGACAGAGAGGTCATGAAATTTAAAACTGCTAGATGCCTTGGTGGACAAAAGGCCTCCCATTTCCAGAAGTTCAGTGAGGCTCTGTGAAAAATAGAAGGCCACAGTCCTAGTCACAGCTTCAGCATTCCCCACAATAAAACTTATACGTGAACTATCAGCTCTGTGTCCCCCTCCACCTGCAGAAGCCCACACTGAGTAAATGAGCACACTGAACCCAGATAGCTCTCAGTTGTCTCTACACCCCACAAGGCAGGGATGGTGGGTGCACACTGCAGCACCTACTCCTGTATTGCACTGGAGAAAGCTGCAATGTACGTCTGAGAATTCCTACCCACTCAGTAACCTGGGCAGCCTCAAGCCTCTACCAGAGATTTAGCTGCTTTCAGTTCAGGAAAAAAATCCTTTACAGTGATACATTCTCTGAGGAAATAGCATTAAAATATATCCAATATGTACATTAAAACTAAAAGATATTATGGGGAGAGGTAGCTGGAAAACATACTACTAAAGTCAGTTTTCAATATCTTGGTTACATTGTCCAGTATCATAGGGGAGTTTTATTTATCAAGCAAGTCACAGCACTTTAAAATTCAGGCACCATTGAGGAATTAAAAAATTCCAACAGGTAACAAGGTCATCAATAATTATTGTATTCAGAAAACATGTCGGAGATAACAGATTCCTGCTATTTCACTAGAATGGCCTGCCAAATTCAAATTAGAAAGTGTTCTCTAACTTGCTGATGAGAACACTCCAGGCTTTGAGACCTCCAGAATTACACCACTGGGAGGGCAGGGCAGGAAATACACATACTCCTCCTACAGTACATGAGTGCTTGGATGCAGAGAGGAAAATAAAACTTACTTTAAAATCTCAGCAGAAATTAGATGCAAGTTCTTACCCTTCTGCTCTTAAAAACTTTAAACAACTGATAATTTTTGGAAAGAACTCAGGAATCCAGCTCTCCTATGTGGTCAGCAGAAATACAATTCACAAAGCATTTTTAGAAATCAGCTTGGCAGGATCCACCAAAGTTCACACACCCTTACCCCAATCAAATTCATCTAGGAAAGAAGCCTACAGCAATGCTTGCACACATGCACAAGTATATATGCAGGAATATTTTCATTAGAATTACACAAGTGAAAAATTGAAAACTACCAATTTGTGCATCAGGAGGAAACTGAGGAAATTAAGTATATTCATCATGTGAAATCACATAGTTAAAAACATTAAGGCCAAATGACAAAACCTTCAAGGCACACTGTGAGCTGAAAAAGGAAGTATGTACCAGAATACATGTACACTTGCTTTATTCAAGTAAAAACATAAAGGCCTACTGGGGTGATCTATTATGTGTGCACATAAGTAGAAATGCCTGGAAACTTCACACCAATCTATAAATGATGTTTACCACTGGGATTCGTGGACTGACAGAAATGTCAATTTTTATGCAGAGTGTGTGTGTGTGTGTGTGTGTGAGAGAGAGAGAGAGAGAGAGAGAGAGAGAGAGAGAGAGAGAGAGTAAGCATTGTATAGGTGGGGTACAAGTACATAGAAGAAAATATGCTAATATTAAGGTCATAGGTCACGGAATTTTGATCAATCAAAATATAGTTTTGCCCTGGGCCTGCTGTGCGGGCCCCACCTCTGGGGCACACCAAGAAAGCAATTGAGACGGGGCGTGGTGGTGTGCCCCTGTAATCCCAGCTCTTGGGAGGCTGTAAACAGGCGGATCACTGTGAGTCCGATCTAGTAGTGAGATGCTGAATACCTTGTAGATTCTTTCCTAAAAATACAGTTTTTGCCATCACTCAGCTTCATGCCCCTTCTCCTTGCTTAGAAATAATCCCCATCCTAACTTTTATTTACACAGATTTATTTTGTCTATTTCCGCACTTCACATACATGGAGTCATACAATGTGCGCTTTCTTGTGTCTGGCTTCATTCACCTACATCAAGGTTTCGATGTGTCACACTGCTGCATCAGTCAGTCCTTCCTACTGCTGAGCAAGCTCCCTCACATGAGCACAGTATAGCATGGTCTGTTATCCCCTTGGTATGCACATTTGCATTCTTTGCTTCTCCTTTTCTCTTTTTTTCTTACTATGAATGAAGTTGCAATAAATACTTTTATATCAATTTTATTGGCATAGTTTTCACATCCTTGTTCAGAAAAAAAAGTTCTTTGGAAGGATGTTTTCTCCTAGGAAATACCATTAAAATACATGCAATATGTCTATTAAAAATAAAAGCAATTATGAGGGAAGGGTAGTTGGAAAACATATTGGTAAACTCAGTTTTTACTATCTTAAATTGTCTAAATAAATCAGTATTTAGATGAGAGTATAAAGTCATACAACCATTTCTAGCT